GGCGGGCACGGAGGGGAGGCTGGGGCCGGGGAGGGCGCGCGCTCCTCCCGCCCTGTTCCGTGGCCGCGGGGCCGGGCTTCCAGCGCTCTCCTTGCTTAGCCGAGGGGAGGCCACGTTCGCACACGGACCCTCGGAGACGCTCCTCGCGCCACGAGATTCGGAAAGACACGAAAGCCGCCGGGGCCGCGCAGCCCAGGTATTGCGCATCCGTACGAACCGCGCGCCGCACAGATTTGTTCCTGGGTGCCGATCCGTGAGGAGGCTGCTAAAGCCCTTTCCCCGGAAAACGGGACTTGGAGGAAGTGAGAGCCACAGGAGAAAACTGCCGGTGACACGTGTGACAGTTGGTGACATCAGACATGCATCGAACACTAACCAGGGAATCGAATATATGTGGTAAAACGCACATGAATAGGATTTGGTCCTGGTGAAAATTTCTTCAAGGAAAAAAAAAATGGGGGAAAAAAGGAAATGTATCTGCACTTTGTAGAAAACCGATCAAGGCGTTAAATTGTCCTCAACGGCATTTGCCTTGAAAGTACTTTCTAGAGTGAAAATGCCTCAGGGTGGATATCATCCTGATTAAAATGTTTGTGTTCCTAAGCACAGGGTCAGAGTGTCCCCTGGGTCAATGCACAAATGCCAGGAAGCCCTTCCCTGGGTCGAAGCTAAACCTTCCCCCCTGGGGATCCCAGGGTTCCAGCGAGTGTGGGAGGCAGGCTCTCGCCCTCTTTGCTGCCAAGGTCCCGCGCCCACGGTGGCCTGGCAGTGTCCTCTTGAGCAGGAGCCTGCAGCCGAAGCAGAGGGCATTCGAGAATGCCTCTCCACAGTCCAGTGGAGTGTTCCCCTTGGGGAAGGAGCTCTGAGCTGAGCCCGCCCAGACCTCCCTGGGATCTGCCATCTCTGGGCTTCTCTTTTGCTTGTCCAGGGACTAAGGCTATGGGGTTGGGGCCTTGAGACCCAGGGGCAGGGTTCTCCTGGGCCGGGCTATGCAGGCCGCTGGCCTGAGCAGATCCGGCCTCATCACTGGTGGAGTCAGAGGGAGAAATTGGGGGACAAAGGTTGGAGGCAACAGAAATGCTTTTTACAACGTTTACAGAATTGTCTGGGGGTCTGTCCGAGCATCGGCAATGTTAATGCCTGTGGGAAGGCAGGACAGTGGAGGAGGCTGCCCGCCCCTTCTGCCCCAAGTGCTTGCTTCCTGCTCTTGACTTCCCACGTGCGGCTGCTTCGATGCTGCCCCTCTCTTCGCTCCCTGCTTCTCCTTTACTAACACAGCCTGCGGCATTTTACAAATGTGTTGGTTGAGTGAGAAACAAAAATTGAAAAATAAATTTAAATGAAGAAATACATTGTCTTGTCTCTGTGTTTTCACGGCTGGATTTTGTGTCTTGCCGCCAGTTTCATTTCGGCAGAATATTTTCCTGGTCGCTCTAGAGCGAGGGACTTCATATGCAGTCCCATGCTCAGTGCTCCTCACCCCAGACTCTTCCTTGTAACCTGAGTCCGTTGGCCTTGGATGGGCCTATGCAATAAAACCCTGCTGGGAGGGATGGGGACCCGAGCGTAGATGCTTGAGGAGGCCAGTTTGGGCATCTCCTAAGGACAGCTTTTCCCTTTCTCTGCCACTGTTTACAGTATTTGTGTACAGAGGTGATTTCCTCGGTCCCTCCACCCCCCGGCCGATGGGCCAGAGCCATTTCCCTGAGTAACCATTCACCGAGGTGATGGGGTATCAGATCTTTCAAATGGGGCTCTGACCCCTCAGGGGTGAAGGTCCAGGTCATCCCATTAGACGGGCCTCCTGGAGCAGCAGAGGTGCTGAAGGCAAAGGGGTCCGGGGATGATGGGGGAGATGAGGGCCCACTACAGCAGTAGGGGCCATAGGGTGACCCCCCCCAGGCCTTCTGGCATCAGCGTTCTCCCCCGAGTGGAATCCATGCGGGGTGTGGGGCAAGGAGTGGCCTGAGCAAACGTTGATTCTCTGCCCACATCTTGGGTGGATCCTTTGCAGACACGTGGGCTCCCCCCACCCTGCTTGGCTTCCCCCAGCAGCCCCCGCGGCTCTTCCATCTTCCACACTCGCAGAGAAGAGGACGTGGCCCCCACCTCTGAAGAGTTGTGAAAGCCCGGCTCCCTTCCTCGCGTTGGGATGAGTCTGAGGCACCACTTCTGCTCCAGAGGAGCTCTGCGATGAGGTAGAAGGCCCCTTGCCTCTGTAGGGCTTTGCCTGAGACCCTGTCCTTCCTCCCCACCCCTCCCTGGTCTGCACCCCTGCTTCTACCAGCCTCCCCTGGCGCTTTCCTTGAGTAACATTCTGCAGTCTGCTTCCGGGGAACCCAGGACAGGGGCCCACGTCCGGGTGGGTAGGCCGAGCCTGTTGGTAGGTGAAGGCCATGTGTTGGGTGGGGTTTGTCCCAGGTGTTGACGGGCATTGCTGAAGAGCTCACAGCCCAGTAGGAGAGAGACACGAGAGACACACATAAATGGTCATACAGTGGGGCGGGCTGCGGTCTTGCTGAGCCATAAAGGTGAGGACAAGAGGGACTAGAGGGGAAGGCGGTCCAGACAGAAGTCACATGGTGCAATGGATCAGAGCCAGAGAGGGCCTGATGTGATTAGGAACGGTGAGAGTTTCCAGATGGCTGGGCTGTAGGTGTTAAAGGAGACATGTGGTGGAAAGAAAGGGAGAGCTAGGGGCTAGATTTTGTGGAACCTATTGGCCCCAGACTCCCCAGATTCCTCCTGTTTACCACCCTGACTTCTCCCCAGAACTTCTCAGCATCCCTGTCTCCTTTATTAGGCTTCTCCATTCCGATAGGCATCTAAGACCAAGCAGGCCTGCCCTGTGTCCACCCCCCACCCCCAATAACTCCTGAGTCTGGAAGCCCAGCCAAGTGTGGCCCCATGAGTCAGGCTCTATCCTCCCCCACCCTGGGGTGGGGGCTGCTCACCCCTGATCCCTGCCCTCATCACCCAACTCCCCCCACCTTGTTTTTGCCACCGAACCACAAACCAGCTCAGTCCCCAGTCCTGGCCACTCTCCACCCCCATCCCTAGCAGCAGTCTGGGCAGCAGAGACAGGAATAGGCACCCTCCTCTGTGCCCAAGAGGGATGGGAGCCACAGTGCCTGAGCCATCCTTCACTCCTGTACTTTTGCCTTGAACAAACGTCATGGGTAGAACCTTAGTTCAGGCCATGGGGTGGCTGGGTCCAGAAGCCGCACTGCCCACTCACCTGCCCCAGCCAGAGTGCCTAGGGCCCCTGCCTGCACTCCCCACCCCAGCGAAACTGCATCCTGAGCCCCTGTCTCTGTGGCCAGGAAGTCACCCATGGCTCATCCCCATTCACAGCTCCCAGGGCCAGTGCGTCCCAGACTTGGCATCCTGTGTCAGGAGCGGGGGAATCCCGGTGGCAGAGACACATGACACATCAGGGCCCAGGGCTGTGTAGCAGGGAGCTAGGCTCCTCATCTCCCCCCGTCCTGGCAAGGGCTCCCCCTCCGCCTGCTAGCTGTAGTTCAAGCCACATCCAGCAGTTCTTCGACTTGAGTCAGTGGTCGTCACGTTCACGCGTTCACTGTGCCCTTGCTCATTGTGGGGGACTCTGCTTTTCAGTGTTTCGATCACTCCTCTGCCTTTACGAGCTGGCAGCCAGTTAGGCTAAATCATGTGTGTTGGGAGACATGAAAGGAAAGTGTAGAGACTTGAGCACTAAGAAAAGAAGTTTCTTACTGGATGGGAATTTTGTAAAGGAGTCCAGACTCAAGGCTGGCTCATCAAGTGAAAAAATACAGGGGCGCCTGGGTGGCTCAGTCGTTAAGCGTCTGCCTTCGGCTCAGGTCATGATCTCAGGGTCCTGGGATCGAGTCCCGCATCAGGCTCCTTGCTCCACAGGGAGCCTGCCTCTCCCTCTGCCTACTGCTCCCCCTGCTTGTGCGCTCTCTCTCTCTCTCTCTCTGATAAATAAATAAAATCTTAAAAAAAAAAATATGGGGCAGTAGGAAAAATAAATGTTGAAATCAGACTTGGGAATGGAGCAAGCCTCTTTGGACTTTCTGGGAACACAGTATAAATGCTCGAAACGAGAAACAACACGTGGCTATTGTGCAGAGTGACACGTGACAATGGAGTGACATGTAGGTGGCAGGGGTTACTGTACACCTGCACAATGCTGAGCCGCACCTGTACCCCTCGAATTCTTGCTGGGTCCCTGAGAAGGGTCGATCTCCTTTTGCAGACAGGGAAACTCAGGTTCCCAGAGGTCACATAACTGGCCGGTCACAACGTGGGCGTGTGGAGTTAGTCCTTTCTGTTCCAGACTAACAATCTCAAACACGTCCCATCTCAAGGCTGTTTCACACGGGGCTAGTTGTGTCCTCGGTATTTCCAAACTGTCAGTTTGCAAACTAATTTCCTAACCCACAGGGAGAGGGGTTTGTCGAGCACCCGCCTGGTTCTAGAGGCTTCACCCAGGAAGCTGGAAGTGTGGGTATCCTGAGGCTGTTACTGACAGGGAGGCCTCTGAGGCTGTAGGAGGAGTGGTAGTTAGGCCCTGACCTGAGGACTTCCCGCTGGAAACCTCGTGCTCTGACACTTCAGGGACTTTTAGAAACCACCTGTGGTAATACTTCCAGGCAGCTTTACAGAGATTCTTTATTATTTACAGAGAAGGCAAGTTCTCGCTTATTTAAGGCATGACCCTAACTGAGGTCAGAGTTCAGCGTGGGCTTGTGGCTTAGCTGTCCGAGTGGCTTGTTCGCTGATTCCCACTGGATGGTAATTAAGCCCCAGAGACTTCTCGGGGAATGGTGTTGGAGAGCCCCAGACACCCAGACTCTTGTCACTGCCAAGATCTAAACATGGAGGCTGTGTGGAGGAAGGCCCAGAGGAGAGGTCAGAGAGTCAGGGTCCAGGGTGACGCGACCCACAGTCCTTTGGGCACATTTCTAAGCCAGCCCCACACCTCTGGGCATTTCAGTTTCTGCCACGCTGCCATGGCCACTTGACCCAGTGCTTTTGGGTCCCTGCTGAGAGCTCAACAGTGTGTCCTAGAGTGGCTGTCCATGGGGCAGGGTAAACGGGGAGGTCATGGGGGTCTGATCCCGAGAGCTGCCTGTAGATCTTTCTCTCCTGGCTTCCTGCCATTTCCACTACAGGTGGCAGTGGTGGGGGTGAGAATCAAGAGGAAGAAGAGGCTCAGGAGAAGAACGGCAGCCCACCACGGCCAACAAGCTCAGCCCCGATGGGGGCCGGGGAACTCGCTGAGGAAGCACAGCCCGGACAGCAGGAGTTGCAACTGCAACAGTCAGAATGGCAACGAGAGCTGCAGCCAGAGCAGCAAACACAAAGCCAGCCGTCAGGACAGCAGCTAGAATTGCAGCAGCAAGATGGGCAAGGCCAGCTGCCTCAACAAAACAAGGACCTGCAGGGAACACCCCAACCTGTGCCCCCTGGGCAGCTGAGACCACAGCTGCAGCTGATGCAACGGCAGGAACAAATACAGGAGCAGCAAGTGCAGGAGCAACAACTGTGGCAGCAACAGCAGAAACTGTTACAAGAGCAGGACCAGTCACAGCAGCAGCAGCACCTGCAGCAGGAACAGTTACAGCAGCAGCAGCAGGACCTGCAGCAGGAACAGTTACAGCAGCAGCAGCACCTGCAGCAGGAACAGTCACAGCAGCAGCAGCACCTGCAGCAGGAACAGTTACAGCA